CTGGCTCCATTCGAAATCCAAATCCCACCAGGGATGCCATTGTAACCGCAGTACTCATGTCATCTCAAGAACAAGGGAGTACTTGTAAGGTTCGAGGGATTTATTTGGATAAATAGAAGTCCAGGGCCCCGTTCCTCAAAGCGATCGTAGCTACAATCAGTTGTAAGCCCTACAATCAACTTTACAATTATCGTAAATAATAATTTGTTGTCGTTCCTCAAAGCTATTGTAAGGGGATTGTAAGTCTCGCGATTGTAACTCTTGCGATCGTAAATTACAATCGTGATCTTCTGCGAGAAAGTTAGAAATAATGCGTTTCAATTACTTCCGGTTGGTGAGAGTTGCCCCCCTTCCAAGCAGACGACGTGAACTACATTTGCGATAATGTCAGAGGAAAAAAAGAGTAGGCGCTCGAACTTTCAAGCCAGCGAGCTTGATATTCTTGTCGAAGAAGTGACACACCACCAGTCAACATTATTTGGAGCCTCTCGGCAACCGTCACGGCGAAAGTCAAGGGGAGGCTTTGGGAAGCTATTGCTGAGAAGTGAGTGGCCTATAAAGGATTTCTGTTTGTTTACATACTAGATATCATGTGAATTGCGCCGCTATGAAGTTACGTAATATTATGATAATGTATGCCTCTATGCCATTTGTTTATATAGATTTGATAAGAAATATATGGACAATAATGACATTACGTTTTTTCAGTATTGCAAACAAGTGTTATAGAGACCATTCTTTTACTTATTATTATTTGATGTTCATAAATGTTGACAAATTTTAATGATATTTTCAGAATCAACGCAGTTTGTGCGACTAACAGGGGAGCGATAGAAGTTCGCAAGAAGTGGAATGATTACAAGTAAGGAATTGTTTTAAACTATAATTTGTCCACATAATTTTGATAATTTAAATAAGATACTGAATTGGCAGTGATTTTATTTTATTACCTATACAGGGCAAAATATTAACGGTTTATATTTTTCATACGATGCTCTTCGGCAAAATATCTCTTAGAAATGTTTCATTTGACAAGCAAACTAAGTACATTTTGTTACCGCACAGGTGTTATGTCAAGAAAAAGTCAGTATCATTGAAGAAGGAGCAGAAACTCACAGGGGGTGGCAATGCTCCCGCAAACCTCACGGCCATTGAAGAAAAGGTATTGTTTGAAGCAATTGTAATTTTAAAATGTAAAATGATATGGGTTCTCTTGAATCATTCACTGCAATTTAATTAAAATTTGCCTTTAAGTCAATGTGATTACTACATATTTTGTAAGTGTAAATGTATTAATTTAAACTAATAACATATTGGAGTTCACTCACTTTCATTATAAGGTGAATTATCAATACAACATCATTACAAATCACATTTATCACATTTACTTTATCAGAGACTTAATGTACCATATGTTGTGTGGCAGGTTTTGTCAATGATCCCTACTTGTCAAATTGATGGAGTGGAAGGTGGCATGGAAGTGGGACTTATTGATGCATGTAAGTCTATTCAATAAAAATTTGTTTAATAAAAGTTTCTTTAATTTTCAATAGTATTGATAACAAAATACAACGTAAATATCTGATTGAATGTATCAATGTGTTTTGTTGGAATAAACAAGCATATATGAAGTATCTAAAAAAGATAACAAAACAATTTATGTAAAATAAATGGATTTTACTGGGACATATAATCAGCTTATGATCCAAGAAATGATACAGAATCTAAACATAAGCAAATTGAATTAACTGAAGGTGGCACATTAAGAATATACATTTATGATTAAATGATATCATATGATAAACAAATTTGCTATGTTATGTGTACAATTTATATGTTGCTCTTTAACCAGGTCCAGGAATATCAACACTGGTTACCCTGACATCCTCGATGCCAATATCGGTAGTCTCCTCATCATTGTTGTCAACGAGTGACTCCACACTGAACACTGTAGCTTCTTCGACATGCTCATCCACACTGAAACCTGTCGCCTCCTCAGCACATACATCATCATCGACAGTAACATCAGCAGGTACCTCAGCAATGAAATCGGCAGCTAGTGTGGCATCAGGAACTTCTAGCAGTGCTGTTGCAGAGGTTGTCACAGTGAAAGGTACAGCATTTGCCACTTCTTTCAAGATTCTGAATAACAATAATTGTGCATATTGAATGCAAATGTAAATGTACTTTTAAGAAACACTCAATATACCTAATTCTTGTTTTTCTAAACTTATAATATTGCTTCATTTGAAAATCTGAAATGTACTATGTAAGCAAACATCACTTTATTTCTTACAATTACACAGCACTAAAGTACGATATTTTGTGTTCCCAGTGTAATATATATAACTCGTCTGTAATCTTTTGCTCAGAAAAATAATGATGTCATCTTTTGTCTCCAAGTATAAATATTTTTCTTTTATATTTCAGAAGTAAAGTCTAAAGGAAAAGGAAATTAGGTAAATACATTTCCATAACTGCTATGATACAACTAACATGTTAACATTTTAGAAATATGCCTACATATTGCGATATAACTGTATTAATACCAACTCTAAGATATTGCAATTATCACCGGATTTTTTTCAGGTGTATTGAATAATTATGTAAAATACTTGTGAAAGTCAAATTCGAGAAAAACTTTATTGTATTTCAGGCCTCCGGCCCACTTGTTAATATGATTAAATTGAGCCATCAATGAAATTGCACTTGTGACGGATACAATTATTTTGTGCATTTAACCTTATTTAAGAGTAAAATATCAATATAAGTTTGGTTTTTTTTAGATATTATTTGATGTTGATATGAAATGTGGTTATTGTTCGGCTAAAAATTGATAAATGTAGAGCGGCAAACCTGATTTATGAAAACTGTGAATAAGCATGACAGTTGGGATATTTCAACCCATGACTGATTTTCTTTCATCTCCTTGACAAAAACTATCTGTAGAATGAAATGTCAGTCTATGACTGCATGAATTATATATGATCCTTAATATTCTTCAATTTTTTCCCAAAACATTTCAGTTAGCGGTCCAGACAATCTGACAGTTTTGCATCATGTTAGTTTTAATCTTTCAGAAATCAAGGAAGAAGACCCCTTGGAGAAATTAGTCGCTATAGAAGAGAAGAAAGTAAACAAACTTGACGAGCTGACATCCATATGGAAAGATTTCTTCCTCTGCACAAAAGCCTACCAAGACAGAGACCTGGCAATTAAAGAAAAATTACTGGCCATGAAGGAGAAGGAAAAGGAATTGTGTGATTACAGTGTCTTCCCAACAGTCACCTTCCCTAACGAGTATTGAAATGTATGTAAACTAATTGTAGTTATTTGAAGGAAATAGCTAACCTTTCCAGTAGTTATTTTCATTTCAGTTTAATAATAAATATAAATAGTTCCTAATTGCCAGATTTGTCATGTTAGGAATACATGAGAGTACATAAATGTAGCAAATTGTACAATATCTACTGTGAAAATATACAAAACCCTGACATTGTTTGTATAATGGAGTTGACTGCTAAAAATTTCACTTTACGGTGTCTGAACTTTCAGATAAATGCCCAGTACATAAAGTAAGAAAATCAAACCAGAGTACAATATGCATAATACAATATCTCTGCAAACATGCACATGTTCTATTTTTTTTGTATTTGGGGATACCTTCTCTGTTTTAGAGTTTAGATATTTTGTGATTTTAGAGTGTATATTTTGCAGAGAAATACCAAAAATATTATGGATGTCAACTTCTTCTTTATTGTACACAACATTTCAGGGCTTTTCCTTGTCCCTTCGTCAGGAGAATGCTTACTAACAGAAGAGCAGCATCTATGTACTAGTAATGTACATGAAGTCAGAGTTAATTTAAGCATGTATCACTTACCGGTAACCACTTAATCCACTTTTGCATATCAATTCTCTTTCATCCCAAATTCCCATGTTCCTTGCATGGATATCCAATTTGTTTTGATACGGAAAATGAACTTTTTAAAGGAAAGTAATAGTCTAATATTCAAGGCAATTATTTCCATTGCATTAGTTGTTATCCTGAAGAAGTTGTTTCATAGCATTTAATGTTATGGACCTTACAAGAAATGCATTGATATCTTGTACTCCAAATGAATCTGTCCATTATATTATAAGTGTATTTTGACCAGCATCTGTAAATTTAAGTTTCATATTTACATTGTCTTGATATATACTACCCATCAAAAGTTTAGACTCACTAGTGTAAATGTAGCCACTTACTTGTCCACTGTTCTTAACTAGCTTTTTGCAAAATATTCCATACTGTTTAAAGGTACTGTTTAGTTATGAACTGGTGTATTGTAAAACATATTCGTAACATTGAAAAGATTATTGTCATGAGTTCAGTAAATGATTAAAATCTGTGAAAATTGGCGAATTCTTAACAAAACTTTACACCAAAACGAATCTGTTCACATGCACGACATTTGCTCATGCCTTTCGCAATTTGAAGCATCATCCTTGTGCAATTCATCTGCATAAGGTTTTCAGTTGGTTCCCCCAAGTTGGTGGAGCAATTCATCTTCGATGTAACCACATACATATACATAACATATAGTGAGTGCTTTAAGTGAGTCTAAACTTTTGATGGGTAGTATATGTAAACCAGAATATGTGCCAAAAATAATACATGTAAGTTGTTTTAAGAAAATATAATGTTCATTTTAAGTTCATTTAAGTGAATTAGATAAAATAATAATTTGAGAACCAATTTCTTTTGGGAATAATTCATTGACTTAAATTCTGTTAACTCTGAAATTGTCATGTATCTTAATTCTGTAATGCTAGTATTTATTTGAGCTATTATTAGACATACCATTCAAAACAACATACTTACCACTGGCTGAATACTTGTTGAATGATCTTGTTTCTGAGTGAGAGTCCATCATTGGCATGGATGACATCTGTCGCCAGGTGGTGAAGAGAAGGGTCTTCATGCTCCTCATGTACCTCTGGTAGTGGCACTCTTTCATCCATGCAGTAATTATGAAGCTTCATGCACGCGATAATTACTTTACAACACTTGTCAGTGCTGAATGGCAGGCAACCAGTCGTTTTGTGTAAACATCTGTTGATAAACAATTCTGTATGCAGATCCATGAATTGAATAGGAACAATAAAAGTATCCTTTTACCATACAGATTCATTATATCTCTTACCAGCCTAATGGCAACATTTACCATGACCTTCAACTGGAGTCGTTTACCCTTTTTCATCAGACCAATAAGGTCATTTACATATGTTACCATTTCTTATAAATTCTATGTCAAATTGTTGATTTATGTTACCTTGTTACTTGAGAATATAACAATATCCAAGACATTTCTTTTTGTGTGGTCCTTTCAAGTTATTCATTCATTGTTGGAAGATAATCAAATCTGATTATCTTTCTATATTGATTTAACAAACTTGTAACATGACAGAAATATTGTTATAAAATAGTTATGTTACTAAATCGATAAACATTATAATGGCCGATTGCCGAGTCCATTAATTAACTAGAATTCAAATACTCAATAACAATAACAAATTGTGATGTTTTTCTCCTAAACAGTTGATGTTAATGACATGATTTCTTTTGAATAAGGGAACAAACATTGTTACCGGAACCGGGATTTTAATACTCCAAAAGCTCTCTCAATGGTGTTGCGAGTTTTCATGTGGGCGGTGTTATACTTTTGTTCTGCTTTGCTTCTTGGCTCCAGTACTGGGGTCAAGAGCCATTGCTTACATCCGTAACTGTGGAACAATATACAATTTTTACATGTAATCACAAGTCATTTAGTAGCAAATCTACCAACAATATACAAAAAATATTCAACTATTTCAGTATTTCCTTTAATTATTTAATATATTGTGAAATGTGTAATTTTTATCCAACTTTATTGGTTACTCTCATTTTGGGGGTTAGTCAGATGGAAGATTCTGTAAATAGTATCACAGAATATTTTGTTTGAGATAAATGATACTAACCCCGAGTCTCCGAGCAATACCCCTGGCAAGTTCCCAGTGTCAAGGAGCTCTGCAACTTGACTGTTGTTCAATATAGAGGAGTCATGGCTTGAGCCTGGCCATTTTGCAACTGCATTGCTGAATCTGCAAGTTAAAACAAATTCAATTATGTCATTATGTGTAAATCAGTGTTTGTAACAGATGTAAACGAATGTGAAATCTATATGTGCTGAAAGGCAGGTAATTTTTTCTTGTTGGAAATTTATAATGCATACACGTATTATTATAACAAAGTATTTTACTAATAAAATTTAAAAAAATATGATGATAGCAAATTGAAAATATATCCTTCATAAGAATACAAATGCACTGATACGTATGAATATTTCACAATAATTTGTTTCCATAAATATTCCTTTAATTACTAAGACAATTAATATTTTATGGACGCTTATTTATTTAAATTCTTGTCATCATAGACAGGAAATAGATTTAGAGTTATCTCCTCATCCACTAAACTCCTCACACCACAACAGCGAAAGATGTTTGTAGTGTACGTTTTTTCAAGGTGACATTATCACAAATAAATCGGAGTACTTGACGATTTTGCTTTGTTTACGTATACATTTGTAACTGTAAACAATACTCGCCTTAGTGTGTGGTCACAGATCCCCTGTACGTTGATGGCATGGTAGCCCTTCCTGCAAACGTATGCTTGCTCGACGTCGATGGGGACGCTTGATCGGTATGAGAGTTCCATCAACACATCCTAACACTTTTGGAAAGCCACTGATCTCATACAAGCCCATCATGGTAATGGGTGCTGATTCGACAGTAGGAAAATGTATATTGTTCAATACCTCAATTATTCCTCTGATCGTTGGGTGAATCACCCTGCATACACTTGACTTTGCGGTGCCATGGATATCTCCAAGCTCGGAGAAAAATCCGCCCTTCGCAAGATATCGCAAAGTAATCAAAACCTTGTTTTCTACCGAGATTGCATGTAAACGCTGGGTGTTCGAGGACAACCTAGATTCTAGCATGCTTACCAGTTTAAGAATGGAAGCCCTCGTCATTCTGTACCTTGAAAATATTACAGCGTCACTGTAAACATCAAGAATGCGACTACGGTCTCGAAATATCCTCTCAGGGCCAAATTTCTGTGTCCTCTGTTTATGAATTACAGCAAACGCTGCCATCTTGTTCATACACAACAATCGATCGTAAGTAAGTTACAGACGGTCATAAGCAACTTACGGAAGTGATTGTAACTTACAACTATTGTAATTTACAATTGCTTTGAGGAACGGTTGTGTGATTGTAAGTTAAAGTTACAATTGGATTGTAATGATTTACAACTATTGTAGTGTTACAATCGCTTTGAGGAACGGGGCCCAGATCTGCCCTAAAACATACATAATTCAATCATAAACATCATGGCAAGATAACGGTATTACTTAAAACACTTTTAAGATTTACAGTTCATTTCTGTATACTTTACAAATCCGGGGATAAAACATATTACACTTTATATAAAGATCATACACATGCAATTGAACATAAATATATAACCTCGTCTCAGGGACGCAGGCTGGAATAGGTCATAGATGTGAAGTGATAAGCCCTGCACAAATAAATATACTATATATCTATAGGATAATATTTATGGTACACTTACGTTAGCATGTACAGATTACATTATACATTCCCAAAATAATATACATACATGCATCATACATAGGATACTTTTAACCCTTTTACACATACAAAATGACCATATATATCCTATACGGTCACTTGGCATATACCTCTGTTAAATACACACGTAAGTTGAATTAAACCTACCTTACAATATAATGCACTACTACCTAAATACTACATATATACAACAATGCTTAAAATACAAAATAACCAAACCTAAGATTCCAGATAATGTAACAAATGAACTTACCCTATGTGATCTTGTGCAGAGAATGTGCTCACTGGCAGAAAGGGGAAATAGGCTGACTAATCAGCAAAAGTTTGAAGCAGTGACCCCACATGACAAAAACAATCATGTCGCCCCAGAGAACAATAAAAGCCTAATCACAGGCCAAGCCTGTGACTGCCCAAGTGACAGTACAGTTCTGGCACAGTCAAACTGGTTTGGCTCAACACCAGTGAATGGAACTTCTCCCAGAAAGCGCAACCCAACTAAACACACCAAACCCATTGACAGTAAGACACATGTTCAGCACGTTGCAAACATACCCATTCTTGGGAGAAAAAAGAACAAATTGCTGATCCGATCTTTGCAAATTGCAGCCAAATGTCTTTATTCAATTTGAGAATTTGAGCTAGATGCAGTTGTAAATAAACATAATTTCATATTCACACGCCATGTTTGTTGGTTGTCTGCAGGTAAGCGACACACAACTCAACGTTTGTCAACCAGGAATTCATAGAAACATTTGATAACAGTAACGCTTATTTATTCCTCGTGGAATAGGTCGTGGAAGAGAAATTATATCCACTTGTTAAAAGTAACACCAAATTGATTGCAAGCGTGCTCTAAAACACAGATGAGAAGCTCAATAAAAAATTAGAGCAATTTCTAAAAACATTGTGAAAACTGATTTTAATGAATGTAAAGCTGTTGGTTGGTCCAGAACTGTTCCCAGGTTTGACTCAGGATGCTAAGTGAATCATGCATGCAATAATTATTGAATTCAAGATGAACTGAGGACATAAAAGCGAGGTCTAGAACCACAAACAAAGAAAAAAACATTCCTTTAATCCTTAATTAACATTCAAACAACCCCGATAATGTCACTGTGATTGATGGCAGCAGTTGAATAATCAGCTGGTTGTTGCATTTTAGCAATAAAGGGTTTATTGAAGTGGGGATATCAATCAATCACTGTCGCAAAACATCAATACATCACAAAAAGTTAAAAACTGACGCCTTGGAACTTCTTCTAATATAAGCTGCTCAGCGATTCTATATCAACCTTCATTAGACAGATCTGACGTCCTGGGAAAAGAAGAAGCATTTTGTCACGAATTTGTAATCCTCTACATGTTTTCATTTCTGCAGCATGATTTATTCTTACACTAATTTGTTAAGTGGCCTGACCTGTTGCAACAGTCTGGTTATAAAACGGACTGCAGTAATTCTGGTAGAAACGGTAGGACCCACAACGATTTGAACAAGTTATTTTGATTCCCAAAATAAAAAGTTAACGTAGAATCAGAACTAGGTTCGAGACCAACAAACAACAAAGAAATGTGGTGTAATGAACAACTGTATTTTAAAACTTACTTCACAAGGTTAATAGAACTCACAAGAAATGTATCTCCGTGGTAGTACAAGGTGGTGAGTGAGTGAGTGAGTTTATTTTTGCGCCGCTTTTAGCAATAGTCAGAATATCATGATATTGTTGCAGCATTCCGACCTGTTGCATTAAACAACGTTCTCATGTTGAGTCTATGGCTTCATAATGCTAATAATAAACATATCTGCATTCCTGATATTGTCTTTTCAAATTCAATTCTCTTCTTTTCTTTTGCACCACAGTTTTCAGTTTATCAGACAAAGGAGTTTTCGGAATTACAAATGGGATCCAAAAACATTCATGAACCATGTGGACGAGCCTGACCCCTAGATGCAATAAATCGCCTCTTACAGTTATGTTTTGTCTGAGGCCAATTCTAACCTGCATATTGAGAAACCTACTGTATGTAAATACACACTTGTGTTTTCAAAGAACTAGATTTCTGAGCTAACATCAAGCTAATAAATACCAAAATCATCGGTAATAAATTAATAAAGAGACATACATGTCATGCTATCAGCTATAGATTTTCCTCAAAAGCATGTTCGATGAAGCACTAACGCTCCACATAGTAAGCATGGTCACTTCGTTCATATTGCTGAGTGTGGCGTAAAACTAAACTCACTCACTTCGTTCATAGACATCAATGACTTGTTTGTTTCCTGATGTGGTAAGGATATCAGCACGTCGAGACAAAGGATAGAAACAAATTGGAACATCAAAGAGCTTGTCGAGATTGTGATGTGTCTAGACAAGTTCACACATGGCTTCCCTTCTTATAAACACGTGCGTTCACCGATCAGCTGATTAGACAGAGGTTTTCCTGTATTTGCTGCATTCATGTCCTGAAGATATACTAGCCACATAAAGAAACTGTGCACACAGAAAATTCCTTCAGAATTAAAATACAACACAGAAAAGACGAAATGATGTAGACACTTTATAAGCTGAAGTATCGGACTACAACAACATGTCTAAGGAACATGAACAATATCCGTAACGATGACGTCAGAAGTTCAAAATTGAGTAGGGGGTCACACGTCGAAGTCACAAAGTAAATAACGGGTATGACCATCATGCGCGTGAAGCACAGCAGTGCATCGACGACGGATGGAGGCTACCAAATGAGCATTGAAGGCCTGGGGAATGGTTTGGGACGTGGTCACTGCCGTCTGGAACCTGTGTCTGAGATGAGTCACCCGAATCCATCTGTCCAGTCTTGGCGTCGTTACTCGGGGACGCCCAGAACGTGGTCGGCGACGTCTTTACTGTTTCCATAACGCCTGACCAATGCAGATATCGTGTTACGATGACATTGGAAATGTGCTGCCACCTGTTGTTGGTTCATGCCTGCTCGAACCAGTCCAATGGCTTCATGACGTTGAGTAGATGTTAATCTTGGCATGATGTGCATGTGACTTCTCATGTGAATTTGTGAACGTTTGAATGACCAAAGATCAAGCTTTCGACAGTGACAGCAATTTCTGAGTTTCACATGTTGTGTGCAGCTGCACAGGCTGAACGTGCAGTAACACATTGCAAGTCCATAGGCCACCATCAATGACGTCACGTCGCCTGGCACCTGCATGGGCGTTTTATTGTATCCAATACTTGCTATGTTCACACCTTTATTTATGTATAAAGACGCTGTCTGCCTATCTTTATATTTTCTGTGTGCACATTTTCTTTATGTGGCCAGTATATTTGTGTGTTTGAACAGCTACAGAGCAGAGTAAGATATCAAGAGAGGTTGACTGGTCATGTTTTTGTTGACGTTTAACTTCATCTTAAACTACAACCTTCACTTTCATTACTCTTTAAGTTTGATTTGATATTATGCGGCTGGGGATTATGTCACCTTAGTGACAACTGCCACACTCCGACACAGCGATGACTTAACATAACATCACTGCCACAGGCTAATTTGCATATCACGTGACCGGACGTTTCTCTTGTT